CTCATATTTTCACACATAGAACCAAAATGATTTTTTTCCCGCGTAGACGATAAAGTGTTTACAAATAAAATGTAACTTACTAATTATAAAAATAGTGAATAATAATTGATTAGCAAGGGAACTGGTTAATACGAAAAGTTTCCAAACTGTTGGAAACAAAGTTAATTCAATTTAGTCATCGAGATATTAAATTATTTAAACCAACCGGTTCACTATCGCGCGCTGGTTTCCACAAAATAAACGAATTGGTGAGCCATTAAAGATTTTTTTAATTAACTCACTGATATTTACGACCGCTTGTAATTTTTCTCATTACACTGCGTTCCTTTACGAATAATATCTGAGATACGATTACGTTTTACCTCCGTAATTAATAGTTTTGTCCAGGCCCATCAATAAGTAATGTATAATTTTACGAATTAAATCAATTTCGATGTTTTAAATTCATTTTTATTAATGTGCCGCTGAGTAATTGAATCTGTGGGTCTATAATACAGGTTATAGTAATAAAGCAGCCATTATTAAATTATTATGCATACAAAATTGATTGCTCTTCGAGAATTATTAATAACAAATTGTGTTGCCGCCATCTTTAGGTATACTTGTAGGCTTGACTTATTAGGTTTAGACTCAAAATTAAACTATAACGTAGGTTTTAGTTTGAATTCTAAAATAAATAAAAAATGTGGCAATAAAGTCAATTCTGTAATATTCACACATAATTTAATACTTTTAGCAAATTATTTGTATTTTGAACCAGAAATAAAAATCTAACATTAAAGGAACTAATATCAAAGTATTCAAAAGCTTTCTGTGATTGTAAGTTCATTTGTGATATTATATTCTAAGTAAATATTTGACTTGTATGTAAAGTAGGCTGTAGTCACTTCCGCCGCGGTTAACGTATAGAAAAGAGTTAAACGCATTTCTCGCTACGACGTAGTATTCCACTTGTAATATACAAACTCGAACTTATGTACTTTATTTATTTAAAAATAAAATATTTAATATTTAATAATACGTAAACATCTTTATTAAACAAATGAATAATAATAAACTATAATATTTTAAACCGTGCAATAGTCGAATTATAGATTTTGGAATATCTGTCTTTCTCTGTTTACCTCTGTATTTATACGGTCGTGAAACTGTTTATTACATGGTCGCAAAAAAATGGTTTTTAATTCAATGGTAACTTTACACTTGTCTGAATTTAAGTAACGGTTAAGTGTGATTACGATCGCTCTCGATTAAGTTATGTTTTTTAATTACTTTGATGTTAACATTTTAAAATACCAATAAAAATTAGTGCGATCCGGCGGTTTTTAACATGTTTTCTTACAAACACTGTTCAATTTTCAATCTGTACTAGATTTCGCTCGTAACTCCGTTCGCGTAGACTGAAAAAAAACTGAGTAGCCTGTGTTCTTCCAGACTATTCTCTACACCTATGCCAAATATAATCGAGATATAAACTCTAACAAACATCCATCCATTCAAATTTTCGCATTTGTAATATCAGTAAGATTTATTCACGACTAGCTTTCGCCCGCGACTCCGTCCGCTTGGAATTAAAAATAAAACAAAAGTGAGTAGCTTATCAATAATTCCAGGCTATCCTCTACATCTCTACAAACTACAAACTCTAACAAACATCCATCCATCTAAATTTTCGCATTTATAATATTAGTATATCATAGATTTTATCTTCTGTTATCGTTAAAACTATTATTTTGGCATTCAAGGGTTAATTTTACGTTGAAAAGCTGTTCACTTCCCCACGGTGTAAACTTACACCGGATGATGGGTAACCCTGTATCAAATATAAAACCTGCTAGCCCTTTTTGTCGAAATTCATCTTTATTTTCATGTCAATAAGTCACATTTTACTGTCAACTTAACATAATTCAAATAAAGTGCTAGTCCAAAAAAAAAACGTTTAGGGTGTTACTTTTGAATTTGATCCTTATTTTGTTGTTGTTTCTGGTTGGTTTTTCCTTGGGGTAGTCTTAAGTGAATACCGGAAGGACTCATTGTGTAGGCTTTCGCTACCTGGTGATAATATTCTTTGTAAGTTGTCATTAACAATCATATTCAATGTTGGTTCGAAATATTTGACATTCTTGTACTGACCAATTCTTTTATTGTTAAAAAAACTAATATCAAAACAAAAGAACATTGTTTATTATCTTTGATAATAACAGATACAGAAATAATTACATTCAATTATGATTTTGTTGCCTGAAACATTTTTCGAATAATCTTACTAATATTATAAATGCGTAAATTTGGATGGATGTTTGTTAGAATTTGTAGCCTAAACGGCTGATATTGATGAAATTTGGAATAGATGTAGAGGATAGTCTGAAAGAACACATGGGCTACTCGATTTTGTTTTTTTTTTTTAATTCCACGAGGACGTATTCGCGGGCGAATATTAGTTATAACATAACCGTGACCATAAAGAATGTGACTAAAGAACCAAAGATAATCAGCTTTCAGAACGCCTTTTACAGTGACGGTACATCAATAATGAGATTTCAAAATTAACGTCTGTGTAAACTTAAATTTATATCGAGCATTTTTCATGCTCAACGAGCGGCGCATACGCAAATGCACGCCATTAATAAATTATTCACACACATCGACATGTGCTTTACGTCACCGCGTTCGCATCCAACAAGATGTATGTGTGCACATCCTTCGTTTTTTATGTACAAGTGCATGAGGGTGCAGGGGAGGTAGCGGTGCGGGGGCGGGGATGTACTTCCCGCATAGCACCTGGCGCGGAGGCCACGTTCGACGGGCTCCTCTCATTGATTTGTGGCAGAATCTCGTTCAGATTTAGTCTTTGTTCATTGTACCATTGTCCCTTCGAGTTCGTTTGTTTCACCCTTAAGATTAATGTATAGTAAAGTGCGGATGGGCGACGCACCGCTTGGAATACTTATATACCTTATGTATATTCTAAACGTGTAATTTTAGGAAAACAGTGAAACAATGTTGTGTTGAAACTATCGGAGTATTCAGCCATCGGCGACAATGGCGGCCACATCCTCTGTTTGTCTTAGCGAAAGTCGATTGTTGCGTTGCTCTTCATTTGTTTAAACAAAACCTTTTGAAAGCACGTCCCCCGATATTGAGCAATGTTGCCACGCAATATCTTAAACCGTATGATACATTTGATAGTCAAAAGATGTACGAAAGCTTCAAAACGAGACAGGAATATGGAATTAAAAAGCTGTTTTCATGATTACTTAATTTTACGAACAAAGCAAACAAAAAAACACAGAAACTAATCTAATCAATATTTTTAATTAACAAACATAACTATTCTTGTCTCTCTCGTGATCTATAATGTTTTTACAGAATCGAGTGTAAAATTATGTTTCGTCTACTAAAAATGAGCGTATAGGTTACTAATTTTAATTTTTTTTTCGTATCATGTCATGACTGATTATTTCCAGCATACGTTAAAATCTAAACAACTCATGGTTTATGTCTGAAATCTAAAATTTAGAGAGCACTTTAGGTGACTCGTCTGGATTCTCTTTCATCTGCAACCATTTTTAATTTACGATCACAATTAGTGACAAGCGAATGATCGTTGCGAGTTGAAATCATCAAAAGTTGAAATGACGATTAAAAATAATTTAAGATAAATCTGTCGATGTAAACTCTTTTAAAACGCGTGAAATAACTGGCCGGATAGATAATTAAAAAAAAACTAGTCGATGGAACTCTTAGCTGCCAGTACGTTCGTGACAAAGGGCCTCGCACGTGCTAAGGCAACGTAGTCAGCTAAACATTGACACGGGTCGTTTGCCGGCGCGCCCAGCCTCGTACGAACAATGCAACCCTGCCCTACGCTACGTCACGTGTGGCCGCTCCCTAAACACACCGGCTTATTTTATCTGTGGTCGCGTACAATACGATTTCAAAGACAATATGGACTACAGTGAGTGATTAGCAATTGAGTGTGCCACGTTAAATTGCTTCGTCTACGTAATTGTGTTGTTATTGTTGTGCAATTTTCTAATCTACATATAGAGCGGGTAGTTAACAATGTTTTACTCCTATTACGGAACGATGTTATAAATGTTCTCGTAAAAGAGAACACTTAAATAAGTTGGAGATGGCAACGTCGTTTGCATCTTGTAAAATATAAACAATAAGTAAGTGATGCGTCAATATAGGTTTTATTATTAGGTCTACTGAGTTTTTAAAATGTTTATATTTTAATATCAGACCTTATGTTCCTTATTTTACAATCTATTAAATTTCATTTGCATAATAATACTAGATTGTATACAGGCTACTTCTAATCCACTATTTCAGTCGGACTTTAATTCTTTGTTGCAAATATACTTTAACTTTATCTTAAATCCTAGTACCTGTAATCTTTATTTGCGCATCAGCAGATATACAAAAAATGTATCAACTACTTGTACGTCGAGAGCGTAATATTTTATGGCCAAGGGCATTGGGACCAAACGCCGGATCTATGAATGAAAATGGACGGTTATCCTTTGTGTTGACACAAAAACTGAAAGCCCATAGAAATACTCCCGGCGGATCCACGGAACGCAATATTTACTACGCCGCCTCCCGTCCCTTTCACTTCCTCCACGGCGGCGAGGCGCGCGAGCGAGAACACGTTATGCAAGATCCGCTCGCCGGAGAGGGACGGCGCATTCATTCATAACCGAGTCCGCCATCCGGTGCTCGCTGATCGCACACTTCATCTCCTTCTAACGCGCGCGGTGAAGCCGAGTGCGAGCAGGTGCCACCGGATGCGGCGCTCGTCCGCGGAAGCTCCGAGAAAAAACGTCGCGCTCCTCGTCCTAGCTAAAATCTCGGGATTATCTATCAGTGTCGCGAAGTGCATCGAGATCGCGAATATCTGTAGCAGCTATTTTAATTGTGGAACAATTGCAATTGGTGATTTGGGTAAGCTCGTCGGGAGTGAAACGGTGGAGCTTCGCCCCTCCGGCGGGCCGGCGAGCGCGTAGTCGCGCACCGACCGTTGCAGCGCGCGGCCGCCCTCGCCGCTCCCTCTGCACGCAGCCGGCCTCCGATGCCCGCCAGGACGCGACGCAACTCCGCGATCTGTGCCCGCGCAGTGCTTACCCCCTTGTGTTACATAAAAGCCACTAATCGGTGCTACATAAGTGAGTGATGCCGAGAACGTACGAGAGACGCACTTGGACGCGCTGATGATGCCCCAAATTACATTAAATGGGTAATCGCTTCACGTCATTGAATAATGGATTCGGGCTCTTGTACTATTATACATTATATCTGTCCCAACACGCGTGGGCCGCCGATGAGTTTTGCACTCGATTCGAGGCTTGTCTTTGTTTGATGCCGTTCCATTTAAATATTTAAATTCAAGTATGCGTATTCTGCCTTCATGAGATGCATACTAAATTGTTCTATATAGTTTACTATTGCATGAAAACATTATAATTGAATACGTCTTAGTTCACGTCCTTTGATAACAGTCAAATATGCGGAATATTTTAAGAAAATTAAGTGGAAAATACTGAAGGTTTTGCTTTGTATTTACCGATTAACATGCGTCTAGATTACAATTCGTAGATAATTAATACGATATAAGGCAGTAAACCGATTATTGTTGAACATTACTGGCAGTGTATACACGTTGACATTGGCTGTTAAATAAAAAAAATAATAGGTGCGTTTAAAAACAAACAAAAAGAATAGTGAGTGAATTTTAAAAGCGCGAAGCATCGCAGTCGGTGTCGGCGACAGGTACACGTTATCAGGCGAGCTCGCCCGCCGACCGTGGGAATAAAAAAGCGCGTTAAACAATAGCACATAGATAAGAAGATCGTCAGACCCCATTTAGGGTACCTACCTTAAGCAATTGAGCTTGGGTTTTTACTCTGCGTTAATGTTAACTCTTTTAACTCCGTGTTTTGTTTTACTTTGCTTCTGTTTACATATTTTTCAGTGGTTTTGTCTTTATTACGGCACTGAACATGTTACCATATAAAATTATTAATATGACTGGCTGTATGCTATAGGGACCTGAGCCCAACGGATACAGGTGTTCCCTGTTTGTTTTGGACGCCATGTTTCGAACCCTTATGGTCCTATTTTAAATCGCTTTCGTAATATATTACAACCGCTTTTAAGTTATTTTCCTCTGTAATAGAGTAGTTCTGATCGAGAAATTTAGTTTACCTTATTGATAATTGTTTAATACTATTTCTTACGGATGTGGTCTGTCAAAATAATCATTTTTCATGCTTTCCAAAGGGTATGTATTACGTTAACTTCTCATATCTCACAAAGAATGAAAATTTTTTGTTTTGTCTCTTGGTTTTCATTATGTGATTCTTTTACTAATACGTATTTTGTTCTGATTTCAATGCGTTCTTCTAAATCTAAAAAAAAAAAACTATTTTAATCTCGTATTGGTGCGCTGAAATCGAACGACGCGTCGCAAAATGTCAAATTTTCGCGATCAGCGAAGCGTGCCCGGCAGTGACTCACTACTCTAACAAAGGCTCGTCACAAGGAACATTTGACATGTAAGCGTTGGTTTTCACTGTCGAAAAAGTTATAAATATTAACCCTATCATTTTATTATCTGTTTTTATGGCAATATTTACATGGCTACAATTTCATATTAAAAACCATAATTGTCATTACCTTAGTTTTACAAAATTTCGTAATGAAAATGTGATATTTACTAATTTAATTTTTAAGATAAACTTCCTTAGTTATAACATGTCAATACAAGTAATATTTGCTCTGATATATTGGCTATCTGCCTTATTATACACACATATGAATAAATATGATGATTTTTAGTTGCTAATATTAAAGTCCGTTTTAACACGTTGTTAATAGCCACTAATGTCGGCACGGTTCCGCTCTGCTTATAGATGTGATGAAATGGTAGACTTGAATAAGAATAAAACAAACAATATCTGTATTTTATACATACGAATTGTTACATTTAAACTGGATTTTCAATATAAATGTTAATTGATACAAAATAAAATAACATGGCCTTTTCATTTGTATTTCGTAATACACGAAATCGAATTAATTCAATTGAAGAAATATTAGATTAACGCATTCTTACATAAAACGATATATTTGTTATTCTTACAAATTTTCCGTTGTTTATTGTTTTAGTTTTAATCGCCCTTTTACCTATAGTTACACATTACAATACATAATGATCAGAACACATTGTAGCGACGACCACGACGCTCTGTCCACATATCGCATATCAAATTAACTAAAGGGATCGCTTTGTTCTCAAAGTGAAGTGTTACATAAAGCCACGTCGACACTGAACTTAACCTTACCAACCTAAATTAACATACAAAAGTACTGAAAACGTATTCATTTGAATGTCTAATGAACTCTACACTGATATATATTTCTTATCAAGACACAGAGTCTGCGACGCACACAGCACCATGTTTAATTGTGTAAAACGTTCCTTTGTGTCAATCATAATTTTTAAATAGTCACATCCAAGATGGAGGGCGGTCGGATTTTTCCCCGCAGCTGCATTTTTTGCCAAATGTTTATGCGAAAAGCGAATATTCCGCGGTGCCGTAATCCCGAGCCGAGGCGGCCGTTATCCCGCCCACATCTTAAAATAAACATCGAAAATCGAAAGCGGGGCCGTGAAACGTGCAGGATTTTCCGCGAGATGATTTTTCTCGCGGGCGGCGCGGCGCACATGCGCGTAGGCGTTGGGAGGCGTTCGCCAATCGCCGGCGAGCCCGCCCCGCGCGGTGTCGTGCCGGCACGCCTTACTGCAGCTAGCTCCAGCATCACAAGACACCCACCCGCACCCTGCCAGCCCATACTCCCTGAAGACACAAACTCAGCACTGGCCGCCTAGGTAACCTCGTGCACTCTGCTCCTATCTCCCTAATTGCCGCATAACTCACCAAACTGATGCGACCATCTCGACGTAACCGAATTAACAGCTCTTGCCTAACTCGTATCTCCATTTTCATATTGAATTACTATATACGATAGCCAATTTCCAATTTCACTGCAATCAATTAAGTTTTGATGGCTCGAATATTCCGAGAAGTATCGACTACCAAAGCGGTGGAATATGCGGAGAATTCGATCCCCATAAGTAACAGACGGATGCATGTACGCTCGCAAATTTAACATTCTATCAGCACATTAATTGCCTTCTCGAGATTATATTGGTGTGTCGTAACCCTTAGATACATTAATATGTTGATTTTACTTGCGGTGTGAAAAAATGAGGCCGCGCCAACTATCCATATGCACTAATAAGTTGCAAAGTACATGTCAGATACCTTACAACGTTGTTTTTCTATTTTAAGCTTAATTTGTATGGCAGATATAAAAACTGTTATCGTTTTATAGATTTTTTCTACAGCCTGAGTTTTTCGTCCACTTTACAATTCCCGTACAGAGCGATATCACATGTCTACGGCCGCCTGTTATTAGGTGAATCTATTTTAGGTGCGTGTAATTCATTGACTGTGCGGTTAAGCTACTGGATTAATTGCTTTAGTTAGTAGCGTGAAAAACATGTTTGTGGCAGACATAATCTCTAACAACTATGCAATTCAAATAACATAACACCAAAGGTAAAAAATTGCGTCCATACTTTATCAAGTTCGATATAATTCGATACTATTTCGATTTAATTCGATATTTCGAAACGTTAAATATCTCCAAATTGTAGCCATTAAATTTATTTGATAATGGCAATTATGTTAGCTTGATATATGTAGACGAACCTTTGACTCCATCTCATACATTGTGTCAGAATACATTTGACACAGATGAGGGAGCGAGGGACGAGTCGCTTTGTAACATTTTAATTGACCGCACTGAGGTCAAATCGCTTGCGACTGACAGACCCACTTCTACGATTACAACGCTACTGTACAAACAATAACTAGGTATTAGTACTAACGCTTCAATAACATTGATTGTATAAGTATGTTAATAAGGAATTTTGTATTAGGTGTCAAAGAGTGAGGGATGCTGTTGTTATAAGTTACATTCTGAAAACCGTACACTCAATAGTGTGACATCATATGACAACAATTTGCGTAAAAGCTCCGTTGCTTACGTCCAAACTGCACAATCTAACACATTGTTAGCTTGCATCAACACGCCCAATTGTTATACAAGCATTGTTCCACATTTGAACAACGATTCCCGCGTCACGAGCGTTTCGACGAACACCTCCATTGTAGCTAGATGTTTGTTGATGCCCGCAATCCGTGCAGAACCGCACAAAATCTCGCGAACGCATCGTCAAAACATAACCGCGGGAACGAACGTGTTATCGAACGCAATCGCCACGAAAAACCGATGGAATTCCTTACTCTGTATTTCAATAGAATTCATACGTGTATGAAATGTAGCTTGAAATCATATAATGAAGGTTTGCTTTGCATATTTAGGTCAATTTCTGAATTCATGGCAGTCGGCAATAACTAGCTGTGCTCCTTTGCCGCATCTTAAAAATATTTCAACGGAAAAACATTAATCTTCGATATTAATATTGAAAAGGGCTTGGCTTAACTGCATATCTAAAACCCTCAATGGTAGTGACTGTCGAAATTTTATGCGGGTGTCCACTTTCCTATTAAGAGGGGTCGAAGATGAAACAAATTAGCCCCGACCCCGGCTGATCCCGCTCAATAATTGTCTAACGCCTAGCGTTTGTCGTCGAGATTCCGCCGCGGGCTCTACAATTAACGTGACACGGCTTTAATTGCTAAACTAGGAGCGTTTCAATTCTTCTTGTATGTTTAGTAACAGTATGAAGTTAAATTAAAAGTAGTATTAAGTACTTATTTTGATTTTCAGTCAATATTTATATGTGTTTATGTTTTTGTCTTATAAAATAGTTATGTAGCTGCTAAAATAACGATAAATTCCTGATGAAATATTTGAGACAGTACCAAAGTCGATTTACAAAATCACAGGATGTGATATAAAAATTGAATTAAATTATGATTTATTAACCCACAAACAAATGGGTCGAATGTGTCATGATCGGTGTCATTTAAAATGATGGGTCAACGAATTGGACGCGACAATCGAGTGACCCGGGACCAATTTCTACAGACCAATAGGCGACTTACCAATCAGCTTCAAGTCATGAATAATATAAAATAGGCTTTATAAGTTTGTCAAGGCATCATAAAACAGGAAATCGAAACATTATCTCATAATTTATTAATTTAAATAAAAATATCCTCTTTACGAATTAAATATGTAAATGCAATATTTTAAATTAATATCCAGTAAACACCAAATTGTGAAGCGTGTTAATTAAATATTTAAGATGAAAATCATCTTATTAAAAATAAAATCGTTTACAAATCATTAATGCAAATAATCCATAATAATAATGAATTTATTATCGAGTGCCTGGTGGGCCAATATGATTCTTCCATTGTGCTTCCAATATAGGACAGCTAGGCATATTGAATCGTCAGGACAAAGGACTGCTACCGTCTGAATGTTTGAAAGGAATTTTCCACGTTAAATTATGTACATATCAATATATTATAAATTTTAAATAATATTTATTTATATTTATCTGATAAATATCCAATATAAGTTATCTTTATAAATAAACATTTATAATTTTCACAAGAGACAATCTCAACTTACTGAATAAATTTAAGACACAACAAAAAATAAAAATTCCGTCTTAAATGTGGTTCTACAATATGACTTCATGTGTCATAGCTATAATGTAATATAATATTTCCGAAGTAGACATAGAGATGGCATCTAAATTTGATTTTGATTAGGGACAATTCGTCGCCCCCATCACCACTTAGTAACTCGGATAACCTCAAATAATAATTATAAAATATATGTCACATTTCATGAGTTATCCACATTTTAATTGTATTACGTACAAAAATTAGTCAAAATAATTTAAATTATGGAATGTATGTTTTGGTCCCTTTTGTTAATTTTGGCAATACAATTCTCAGAATGGATATTCAATATGGCCGCCCCTTCCGAGAATGTAGACAATGATCGTGTGAAAGTATTTAAATACACAAAAAACATAGTTAACCCCTTAACAATAGTAGGCTAGATAAACTTTTTCATAATCTCAACTGACTCATTTTGGACCCTTCCCCTTTGACGGTTATTAAAAAGTAATGAAAATGTTTACTGGTACTTAACCCTTGATCCCACTGAGACCCCACTAATCTTATCAATTTGTTACATTTTATTAAATAATGCCACGCTTTTTTATTGCCTACTTCATAATTAAATAAGTTAAAACTCTTTATTACATTTCTTAGAACAAGCTATAAATGCGTATTGTTTTAAATAATATATCTTTTTATTAAATGAATCATTTTTTTTAGTTCCATTACAAATAAACTATTAATGTTACGAACGTATTTAAAAGAAAGTGCGTTAAAATGTCCCTTTCTCGTGTAAAAAGTTTCAAACTAATTATGCATAGGGAGTGCGTGACAATGTCGCAGTGAATGCACGGCCCTTAGTGCATAACTACGTTACTTGTTGGCTGAGTGCAACAAGTGTTCGTTACTGCCTCACTGCGGATACGACGTTGTTAGAGTATCTTTAGCTATGAAAATAATATTTTTCATATTGTTACAATAAACATAATAACTTATACTATTTTCGGAGTCTTCTCTGTTTATACTGTAAATGGACATTCTCACAGTGTTCAAATGTTAGAATACGCTGCTTTAATACTGGTTTTGTTATTTTTATTTGATAAATTGACTTCACCTGAATTAGTTAAAATGTGACAACTATTAAAACACAAACCACTCGAAACTTAAATAGCGTAGGAACGAACTTTGGCTGTAAGTTAGCGAAATTGCTCGTCACGGCCTAGTGGGTACTGTGGGAACATCCCCGAGCGAGGGGGTCGATGTGGGGTGGGGGTGCGTGGGGCACGGGCGGCGGGGGGCGAGTGGGGCGGCGGACCGGAAACGCCTGTGCCGGATCGTTCCGCGCACCTGTGAGAATGTTTGCTATTTGTACAATGTTCCCTTTGGTCGCAACACGCCGCCGAATAGAGAGCATCGCCTTGTAACCGCGCATTACTTATCTCCTAATTACTCCCTCGCCTGCCACCTACGACAATACCGGTTCCGTTCGACTGTTATCGAAGGACGCTCTCGAGTCGCTGAAAAACGAACGACTCGATTCGTACAACATTTATTTACATATCTACTTGTGTCTCGATGCAGGTGTCGTTTCGCGGAGTGAGCGATGAACGGCGCACTAAAAAAATGAACTGTTAAACCGTGACGTAACAATAACTTTGACAAAATGAAAAACAGTGAAGAGTGTTTAGACTGAAATACAGACTAATAATAAAAAGTGTGATATTTAAAGTTATTCAAAAGTAGTTATAGTTATTTGTGTATAACTAAATGTATATTTAACAAAGTAAAACAGTTATTGTGAATATAACAGTGATAAAGAACGATAAATTGAAACAGAAGGAGTATAAGTGAAGCCGGTATTGGAATAGTAATATTGGAGTGTAGAGGCCGCACAACTCTTCGTCGCGGCGACGGTGGCAATCGCAGGCATGGGAATCAAAGTCATGATGAAAGCTTTCAATAAGCCAAAGGGTAAGTCTTGCATATAACAGCTCAAATCTACACGATCACTGAACGTAGACAACACTTTTGAAATTGACACTGAAATGTGAAAGTAATTTTTATATTTAGTCAAATTTCCATACACACTACTGCGTATAATCTCTTGCTTTATAACTAAAAATGTTATTGAATATTATCGTAAAGAACTATACTACATGTCTTTTTGTGTATTAAATAGAAGGCAGTCGGAAAGAACCGATTCTTTCTCTTTTGTCTGAACGTAACAAAGTTGACAGCAAACGTCAAACGTGATTCCTAATTGCAATTGTTTGCCATCAATCACAGGCAACCTTCGCTACTAGTTGATATCTTTGCAACAGTTTGTCGGTTGTGAAAAAGCGCATATATCATCCTTAGTGACGCAAGACTCTCGGTTTCGCGTGCACTTGCCCTCAATGTGAAGCCGCCGTGACGTTAGAAAAATATGAAAACGTTAGTTTTCTGATGCGTATCATTTGGTCGAAGACGCCTCGTAGATACGTTTTGCAATATGTGCGTTGTTTGTGCCAATTGTGTCAGATATTTGTCAACAGTAATGGTATCCTTACTGTATATTGTAGCTGACATTTATTAACTAGTGTATCTCGTGTTTTGTCTAATTTACATTTTGTTCTTAAGTCAGAATCTTTTGTATTATGTTTAATATTTCAAAGCCCTTCATAATTATATTATCATGATCAAAGATATCGTAACGTTCACCTTAAATGTTGTTTCGAAAGACTTATTTCTTCTGTAGTTTTGGATTTACTTTGACCTTTGAACATTTGCGTGTAACCCGTGTACAGTAGCGTGCAACGTGATTACGACAATTTAGTTTTTGTCAATCAACCGTTAAATTGGTCGGGTAATATTAGGTAGCATTAAAGATGAGACGGTTTGTGAGTCCACCTGTTTGGTAAGATCGCGTGTTTGCATCTTATGCTAGTATCACACGGGAGACAAGTGAAGTAGTGCAGTAGGCAGTGCGGTACTGCTATAGTTTGAATCCATACTTATTGTCAAGACTGTTTTATCTCGATATGCAGCAGCAATACTGCACTGTCTACTGCTCTACCTACCTGTTCTGCCTTCGTGTGTTAATGGCATTAGGGGCGAGTGTTGTGCAACGTTGGTTATTACCGTAATTATGATACTCGCGCTGCTCTGATGATCTTGAAAGTGAAGACCTTGCGTACGCTCTTACTGCTGTTATTGTTCGCAAAGATTATTTATACACAACAAAGAAATTAATAACACAACCTCAATATGACATCGCATTTACAGCACTTAGACGTCTAATGAAAGAGTTTCCTACATATGTATTTGAAATAGATAGTCTTTTACGGTTTAGATACTTTTTAATGAGATGATAAACTAAAAAACACAGTTGGAGAGTTCGAGTGTAGTTCTGGACAATAAAGCGTCAATTGAAGGATATAACAAAGAAGGCAGCAGTACTAGATACGGCTAATAACCGAGGGCAGGGCGGGGAGCGCGGGCGGCGCGGGCGCGGGGGCGGCCATTCACGCCGCTGATTGGCCCATCCGGTGCGCGCTCAATGAGATGATGCGCCGCGCCGCTGTCATTGAGCAAAGGTCCCTCGCCTACGTCCGCGGACTGCTACAGATTTATACCGCATTATATTCCTCTCTATTATTGTAAGCATTGTAGTTGATTATGAGAATAGTGCTTCCAGCACGATTCTTCTTAAAAACAAGGATAACACCACCGCCAAGATATCGGAAAATTTTACTGATACATTAGGTACTTTCTGTCAGATCAAAAGCAGAGATAAAGACATAAATGTAAAAGAGATGGCATGCTATAGCGAAATAATAAGTAACATTATGAAGTCTCATTAACATTTCAGTAACACCAAAAATGTAGAAAAAGTGAACAAATGACAAAACAAATACTTGAACGTCGTGTGAATGCAAAAGTCATGTTACACTTAATTAAATGTAAAGCTTTTGTTAATTCATTTTATGCATCAGTGGGTGAAAAACCGTTTGAAATAACACTTTTACCGCATTATGACTACACCCTTGTGTACGCTCGACTGCGCTGCCTCGCCGGTGATACGGGCCTCTAAATGGTCAATTTTTAAACGACTCGACTAATGGATTATGGCGGTCGTGAGAAAACTTAATGTTTCAAATTAAACTTACTCCTGTATACATTCCAGATGTTTCCTAAAATAAAAAAGCCACAACACAAACACATGAAGCAAATTTACTACTTTTGACTCTTAGCAGTTTTTTGTCACTTTTCTAATAACCCTTATATTAAACACGTTTGAAGTGAACTAATTAGATTAATTGCAAAATAACTGCGGGAGATGATTTGAATTCAAGTAGCGCACGCGCCGCTGACGTCACGCGACGTTCCAACTTCAAACGGCGAACAATGGCGGCGGTCAACATGGCGCGAGCTTTTGTTGCGAGCTATTGTAACGCAGCCGTGGTGTCAGAGGTAAACACACTCTAGATAACAGACTGCATGATAAATGCATTTATGAAATTCTAACATTTAAAAAAAAACTTACGCCCTGAGGTCCGCGTGACGCCTTAAGTCTAATCTCTTATTTTTAATTCTCTTAGTTGAATTCTTGAATACGCTCTGAATAATAAGTTTGCACCCAACTGAATAGTTTGTTACTATAGGAGGAAACATAAAATGTGTGACTAACATAGGTATTGAGTTTTTTCTGTTACTTACAAACTATGAGCAAAAAGAGAGTGTAGTTCAAAATAAACTTTATTATTATATTATTTTTAGTACATAAATAAAAAAAGTTTAGTTTTTGTTAAATCAAATATTACCAGTGTAGATCTAGGCAAATGCATGTTAATAAAACTCAGTATGCTTAGTTTTTTTCGTATTATTACCTAAAAATCATTCACAAAAAATAAACAAAGCGTAACGGTTTTAGCAAATAGTCAACATAATCTAAAACTAACATCGTGAAATAAAGCCAGTTCACTTGACCAGTCGTAAAGGTACAAACAACAAGTGTTCGCGCCCCCTGCTCCCGAGCGCCACCTGTTGTCAGACCACGGCCACACCGCAATACATTTACATTTCAAAGTGCACACGCACGCAAACCTTGCGATATTAGTGTATTAATTTCCTACCCGTTTCGTGTTATATATTTAACTAACGGTTATTCGCGACTTCATCCGTGTGAAATTAAAAATATTAAAGAATATACCTTTACAATGTTTTACTCACAGATAAATTACCTTAGTGAATTTTCAAAAGCGGCACAGTAGTTTTCACGTTCAAATACACAAATTTTCAAATACACACAAAAATGCAAATATTTCCTCCTTATAATATTATTATAGATATACGTACGTGTTAACTTATAGCTCTTATGGTGACTGGTATTTGATATTCAATTCTAAGTCAAATAGACGAAGATAAATCTTATACTAATAACTAAAATTAATTAATAATTACAATTATTTTTAAGTGACCGTTTCCTAATTTTTCAATAGACATGTAATTTTTAATGGCCATTTCCTTAAACTAATGATGTATGTCTTGTAATTCAAGATTTTAGTTATTATTACACATTACAAGCAAAAATTATTCACATTATAAACATCTTCATTATATATGCTTGTAGACTCATAATTTTAAAACCTGTATAAAAGCCTAACACTCTAAACTGCCAGTAAAAAGCCTTACAAATTAAATTAATTACACTAATCATGTCGAGACCTCTCAAGGCTGTATGTTCTACTGTTTTAGAAGGTGCGAATCGACCTCATCTCCGGTCTATTGTCCCGTTATCCATGCTATTCACGATTAGACACAACTCCGACTTTGATTTGAAATTTACGAATAGCTAAAATCAGTCTACGTGTTACGTTTTCATCCCCAAAAATCCATCAGTCACGAAGTTTTCAGCTATGGTAACTGAACGAATAAAGTACACAACTCTAATGAGACAAGAATTCAAATTCCCATAACAAATACAAACAAAATGAAACGAAAACATTTGACGAAAGATGATAAAACAATGTAATGACAAATAAATAAATGTATCCAAGTACTACATTTTAACATCAAATGTTCTAATAAATAACACTATTTTTATCATATCTTACACCCGCAACCTATAAGGGTAACACTGAACTGCATTTGACAGGTTTCTGACACACCTACATTCATATTATGCACATCTATGTACGTCAATATCGGGTGAATTTTTATAAAGTAACATGAAGGATGTCACAATTTCAAATGGGGTCGGTAGAAGCTTTGATTAAGATTCTTAATTCAATCGCAATTAGATCAAAAATTCCAGTTTAATTTAAAAAAAATAATTCAATTTAATTTTTAATACTCGAAGTATTTAATGCTTGATTTCTACTCTTCTATAATGATAACATACGATTTTTTTCAATGGACAGTTTACCAGACGGCTGGTCCTCATCGGAAACGACACAATTAAACCGAAATCACTCAGCTCTAATTACTGTAATTAAAGTAACGGAAACCGCTTTACAACATTTTTTGTTTTTATTTCATCTCAGTTTTTCGATACACATAAATAAATGTCAACGCGAATTCAAGACTTCCTCTATTTAACAAACAGCTGCGTATTATTTGCCTACGATATTAAATTGACAGATGATGAATGAAATATGTTTAATTTTTTCAGAATGAAATCCAACATTTTTATGTTAAAGTCTAAATAACAAGAAATCAAAGATAAGATGAATCATAGAAATATAAATAAATTAAACCATTCCATTAATTCACCAGATGCAATTCTTGACATTGATTATTATTCAACGTAATTATACATTCTTGTACATGAATAAGTTAAAATTCAAGCAACTGAGATGCAACTGGCTGGTGTTTTATCTCACTTGCAAAACAATAGCCTATATCGGCCGGAACGAACACAAAAAAATCTTAATAAAGACCAGATTGAAGTACAAAGGAACATAAAAGTGACATTGACTTCATAAAGACTGGGAATCTTTTTAACTGACACTGAGAGACGATATATTCATTAAAAATGTTTTGAGTTTTATAATTTTTTTTTTTTATTTAACTACTAAGTTTGTTAATTTTGGTCTAATGTTGTGATAAATTTTTTAGATAACTTCATATAATTAATAGATTTTCAAGGCAAAAATATCAAAAAATTATATAACTTTAGGAATATTTTGAAATTAAATATCTATGAAATCTAAATTGGCGAATCAATATGGGGCATATATAGGATCCTTGCGGCACTCCATGCAGCGTTTCGATTCTTTCGCCTTGTATCATTGTTATTATCCTGGTTGCTTATAAATCGTATTGAAATAATGATTGGCCGTAAGGTGCAATAGTGATCGTGATTCAGATGCACCTGCGCGGGATGTTGCGAGTAAATCACAGTGTCGATCCGCAATTAATGTGCTCGTAGCCACCGCTGCGGAATCAGACACCTGATTCGCTATACTTATATCATTGGTAACTACGGACATTGTTATCTTGAATAATTATTACTGTTATTTCTTACCATCGTTTTTTTATTAGAACAACGATCTTATGTCTTTTAGCCTTACTCGTTAGTTCCCATTTGACCGCAATCCTATCCAATCAATTCAACAATCTCAATTTTCGAGTTTTAGGGCAGGAATCGCAAAAGAGGATTTTAAGTAGACGTAATAAGCTATATGCACGTCCTCTGTTCTACAAAACTTTAGTCATAATCACCCTTAACAAACGATTCTAATTAACTAAATCCTAGAATATAAAAAGTTTTAAAAATGTTTGAACTACGAAGTAAAAAAAGACAACTGTAATTTGCAAAAGTATTACGCATTTTTCTTCATTCAAACATCATACACCAGCTTATTTAAGGTCGTTATAATCTAAAAACAATTGTTATATTTAAATGATATAAAGCAAGGTTCAACTAGAGCTGATCGTACGGGGCAGCGACCGTGGGAGACGAACTCAAATCTCCGCATCTCAGAACTGGTCGGCAGGTGTGCAAGCCGCGCACAGGCGCAACACCCACACACACATGCAACACAAACCTGACGCACTTATGAATGGACCTTACACACATACACACACGTACGCAATCGCACTTGTTTATCTCTGATTTATATTATTCAAAGGCATCAGGCTTCGAAAAGAAATCTATTAATTTGTTCTTCGTTGCTCGGTAAATATAAATAAAGTTGATAAAGATATTAATCCAATAGATAAAGATCTGGTACGATTTAAATGGCTCTCGATTAGATAGCAGACAAACTTCCGAATTGTAACCTGCTGATAAGAGATTTATACATCTTTCTATATCATTAACTTTATAATGTAATTTATCACAGGCTTTTATACATCCGATCGACCATATCTAGGAAATGTCTTATAAATATTTTCATAGAATTATTACTTATGGCACGATTCTCGACTTGTTTTTAAAATTTGGTGTGTAGTTGTAACAGGAAAAGTATATGTAATTGTATGAGCTACAAATCTTTTTTTCTAACGTAAGGAATACACAAAACAAAGGTACAACATTAGGTGTGTCCGTAAGTGAAAGTTAAGTTTTGATTCCTGAACATTGAAGTACTACATATTGTTAGATTACACCATTTATTAATAAATCTTAAATCAAATATAGCCTATAACTGAAAAATAATATGATTCTTTATTGTTGCAGACATCCCATCGCAGGTGCCGCCGCTCACGCCCGGCACCAACAAGAAGATGGCCGAGGCGCTGAAGGCCACCTTCGCCTCCTGGGAGAAGGAGCAACTGCGCCTCGGCGTGCCCAAAGGTCAGTTTCACACTACATTCCCGTAAAAAGTCAAATCTATTTTATCATATATGAATAAAAATATAACTAAGATAGCTTCCAAACAACGAAACAGTTTTTTGTCAATTTGTCTGTGAGTTTGTGCGTGTCAATCTCAGAAACGACTAACTTAATTCCAATACAGGTTTCCCTCATCTATTGTAGTCATCTTTACTTAAATTTTAGTGTCTATTTCATCTCAATCAGTACATAAATGTGAAATCTCACAATCGAAATTGACTTATGTATATCAGCTTATAAAGACGGAAGTTTAACATCTCCGTGTTTTTAATCATAAAAATAATTGCATAATCTTGTTTTCTCTCATATTAAATTATTAGCCAGTATCTTCAGCAATCTTCCAAGAGGTTATTGAAATTTATATTTCCTTAGTTTATAGTTTATTTAAATAAACGTCATAAAATGTTTACGCCTATATAATAATCATTTTCATCTTACATTAAACAATTAAATTAAACATCCCGCCTCTCGAAAGGCGTAATAAAACACGGTTACTTTAATTACCATTTAAACTTACCACTACAATCGGTTATCTTTCGCCATGGAGTAATGGCGGCGGCATTATGACGTAAAATTACGGCTCCATCTTAAATTTCCATCATCTTAATATTCTCGGTATTAAGAGAATGTTTTACGGGTACATTGTGAGATAGTTTTGTTCCAGCGTAAACTTTGTTCCATTACATTTCGTCCGCTCGCTAGTAGAGTTTTACGACGAGGAAGAAACCGCACTAAATGCACAGAAGTATAATTAAAAATGTTAGAACACGCCGGGTCTGGAATGAGAAATGAGTACAAATTCATATTACATTTTTATGATCTTTCGTCTTTAAACAAACCTATTTCTTGCGTTGTATTTAGAAATGTAACATTTTTTTTTTTTCAAATGCAATAACACAATTGGCGCTTTTGTGTATCCTTATATATTTATATGTATAGTATTGAAATCTCGATTAGGTTATAGAGCTTAAATATGTATAGATAGACCTGGATGCCATTATTTCTAAGATTTTTTTTATTTAAATGTAAAATGCGTAAATCTAGAGCACTGTCTATTTAATCAAATAAATTATTTATAGTGTACGTTAGAGGTAAATTAATTATAAAGAGAATTTCTTCATTTTATTACGTTTCATTTTATTAATCACAAGCTCACATTGCTTTGTACAAAAAGAAAATACTTCAAACATTTATTAATAAAGGCGATAAAATACATCTAACAAGTCTTACTGCATTCAATGTAAAGTTGCAAAAACCACAGGCGTATAAAGACATAACTTTTTTTTTTAATAAATCAAGAATATGTGACTGAAAAGAACTGCCACTAGGCAAAAACTACAAGAGATACAGCCGCGCTGTCGTAATTTGCATATGGTAATGCGACGGACAGACGGACAGAGCGGCACACCTTCGTCTTTGTTGGTGGTACACGGCGCGACATCGACATCAATTATTTTATGCAACTAACATTCGATGTTACCAGCTTTTATTATGTTGTTAACATTTTTTCGTTCCTTTTTAATTTATTTTCGTTCTGTAAATGTAAGTGATGTAGTTTTATTGAGTAAATAAGCTTATAAACTTTTATCTACCGTCTCTAGAAGGTCTGATAATCACATAAGTCTGTATTTTGATATAGGGGCGTATTCCAGGGCCTTAATAAAGCCTCAAAGCTAAGGGACAATGCCTATATCAGTATGTGATTGTGCAGTAGGGCAGCGCGGACAGGTGGCGGGTTCGATGCCCGTGATCGACGGAAGTGCGTACGTCTGCGGCGCGTCTATTCGCGTTTCCGGTGCGCTCGCGCATCTAACAAGCGCGCAGGATATGGCGCTAGTAAATCATTTACCCATGCAATACTATTTTAGTGTTATAACATTTGTTATTTTAACGGATTCATCCAAATTATGATCATTAGCTGCTTGCAATGATCACTAGGCTTAAAAGATTGATTCATTATGTCTAATCTTCTTATATGCAATCAAAATTATAGAGTAACTAATGGACATATTTTAGACGGATAAGGACTCTGTCTGCTACATTTAATGGTTAAATATGCAGTAACAGTAAGCAAAGGAGTAGGCGAATAAGTCGCTGCAAATAAATCTGTACTAGTTTTTTTAATAGGAGAAGAGAACAAAAGAACGATGATAATACCGAAGTGATTATAGGTATTGTACATGCATTGCCAAAGTTCTAGGTGTGGCTGTTTTTATAACGAAATTACTCTTTTAAAGTATAGACCGAAGAAAGTATGGATGGATTGTGTGAAAGAGGATATGCTTAAGAAAGGAGTGGTTTCAGATATGACGGCTGAAAGAGATGTATGAAAAAGCTGTATACTGTGCCGACCCTCCATAAGGGATGAGGGCAAGTAGATGATGACTCTTTTAAAGTTTAGTGAAGAGCAATGTATATGTTACATACATATATGTTACAAATGGTAGTCAACACTTATCGTGTTACTTCAACTCAATAAAAGCAATCGTAAAGTTAAATAGATATTTAGTGCCTAAAAAACTTGAATTTTATTACCTAGGTTTACACGTATATTTAGATAAAAAATACAGTCATTTCCTTTGACATTTTGATTGGCTCAATTGTGATGATAAATCATTTGAAATGATGATTCAAGATAGAAATATAGAAAATGAAGTCACCGAGATACAAATAAATATATCAGGTGTTTAATGGTTATACGAGTTAGTTCTTAATGAAAGATCTAGGCAAGAGAGCAGTGTATATTCAATCATATCTTTTATATACCTTTAACGTCTAGAAACAGCTAGAGACCTGTCCCACCAAATTATAAATTGTCTGATAACAATCCAGCGTGTAAAATATGTGACGGTAATATCGGATTTTGTTTCCATATTTGATAGTGACGTCATTTTTAAACTATCTGTGCCTCTATCAGCCAGTGGTGGACAGGCCCTAAAGTTCGTCAATTGTTTTTAACGATTAGTGACGACAAGATATTTAGAATTAACTAAAATCAATTAGGTTCAATTGTAACAAAAACGCTAACTTAATCGATTGATGTAAAGCGAAATAATATTAAAAAAAAATCGTAACAATAAAAAAGTTTTATATAGCAACATTCTACGATAAGTGATAATAGCACGATAAAATACATGTCTCGCTTTTTTATCGACACAATTGTAACAAAAAGGGTTCGTTGTTAACTAGTACATGTCCTTAACGATTTTCTCGTTTATATTCAGTTTAATTGGCACTGTGGAAAGTTGGCGCGTTTGTCACTAGTTGCAGCCGTCTCGAACTTTATCGTATTATCATTGCAACTTCCTTCTAAAAGGAAATTGTAACTACACTGTTCCAAAGATATATACGTGTATTCTTATCATATATTCATCAGATATTTAATATTGAGATATTATTGCAATAAAGTGAAAACGTCTGTTCCAGAATATGTTTTCAAATTTACCGAGACATATTGTCAAAGGTCGCTAGTTCAAATCCGGCTCGAAGGACCATGTAACTCCAAGTGGCCCGGAAATATAACAAGATCGAATGAATGAGCCCACTTTATTCATCGCTAGTCGCAAGCGCATCGAAACTGAACTGAAACTGCACGGCAAAACCATAATGGAAATTTTAACGGTGCGCCATCTAGTGACAATTTACGCAAATACATTTTATTAGCACTTTGCATTTTTAACCAACCTGGATAGTCATAGTTCGGTACTTGCATATAAAACTAACCTTGAGTTAGAAGATCGGCTTATTACTTATTAGAGGTGCTAAGTACGGGTTCTTGTATGCGTCACTTTTATAATACCAATACTTAATCTTCAGTAACGGAATATTGGCTTTAATGTACGTGAATATCTTACTGCAGTTATCATAGCCAGAGCATATCCTTGTGCACTCCGCCCGTGACATAATCTAATCTAATTGAAGAATTACTCGAGTAATTTTGCAATATTCTCATACGAGATCGTTATATCACGTTGAATGTGATTGCAAATTATCTTTTAATTCGATATCAACCTTATTACCAATGTTAAATTATCAGCAGTAATTATTTTAAGAAATAGTCAGCTTAATTTCATTGACATCTTACACTTATAAGAAATATTCACACTGAGATCTATACTAATATAATAAAGCGTAAACACACACTACTTTGTGGTGTAAGATGTCAGCAATCACAGCATGTTTTTGAATAATTATTTCTTCAATAAAAAGCCCTACACTTACGACACGCTTAAGGCTATATATTTTCACGCTATTAAATTTAGAGGGTAAATGAAATGGATAAAAACCCTAATGAGGGAAAGAGACCATAAATTGCTGCCAACATCAAGCAAGTGAGATTGCTAAGGTTTGTCATGTCATGTCATGTCATTTTGACATTTGCTATTGATAATTGACAAATGTAAACAATAAAATTAACTTTTCATAATTTCATGGGGATGAATTCGCAGGGGAACAGCTAGTATTTAATAATTATCAATCAAAAGACACCTAAATTACACGAAATATGTAATTGCACATATGTGGAAAATGTTAAAAAAATAAACCATAAAGAACGTTACAATAAATATATTAAAATAACGTTTTGTATAAATAGCTATTGATATCAGCCCTTGAAGTGATATATTGAGATGGACTTAGTATTAGAAATGTCGCTACACGTCGCGGATAGCATAAATGAATGACAATCAGTAACATTATGCTAAACTATAGACCACATCAAACGATCAGATCAATAATTCATCGGATGCAATTCACTATACTGAAGATATTTGCTTTACGGAACGAAGACCCTGTCATTTTCCACGTAACTATTGAATAGCGCGAGAACTTTGAAGAATTGGGCTTAAAAAAATAAACTAGGCAAAATTAATGTGAATTATAAAGAACTTGCATTATTTTTCTATTTTAAAAACAAAATTAACCTAATATATAGTTACAAATAAAAATAAAACTTTAACAACACGAACCTTGAATCACATAAATTCAACATGTGTTTCCAATGATTACAAAATATTCAAGTAAAAATAAACTATGTAAATAGAGTATTGAAGTTGCCGTTGCTTGTCTATCTGTTTGTTAAGATCTCGGATCGAACATAAAACGAGCCACAACGCTCACAAAGACGACCTGATAATTCTCAAGAAACAAGAGCTGTTATCTAGAGATCGGTTGTTAATGGAATTGGTCTATTAACATATAGCCCCACTACATGCACCTATCCAGCGAAAGAGTTATATCTCTTACTAGCTGTTCCCGTGCGGCTTTATCCTCGTGAATTTATGGAAATTTTATTTTATTCCTTACATTTGTCAAATTATCAATTGCAAATGTCTAAATGACATGATGACAAACCATGGCAATCTTACTTCCTTTATTTTGGCAGCTAGTAGCTTATGGTTACAGACATAACTGTTTTTATCCAATTTATTTACCCCCTAAATTTAATAGCATAAAATAATATAGCCTAAAGTGTGACGTTAGTGTAGGGCTTTTTATTAAAGAAAATGCTATTCAAAAATATGCTGTGATTGCTGACATCTTACGTCACAAAGTAGTGTGTGTTTACGCTTTATTATAATAGTATAGGTAAGCTCTCTTAAAAGATGTAACCCTTTTCGTAGGACATTCGTACGTCGATCTCATTAATGCATCATGTACTTCAAATCGTGAAAACGATCCAATTTAATCACCACTTATTCGATTCCTTGATTGTCACAACTTTATACTGTTTCGAATACACTACGAATAAATTTAAAAAGAGAGTTTTTTTTAATTGGAAATAAATGAGCCTGTTTTCTATGTCTTTATCGGACTTGATAAATTTTTATTGAGGTTCAAGACATAACAATAAAAGCCAAGTTAAGTTACTGATAGTCGATTTTATAGGATTTTGAACTATTTAAACTGTTACTAAACAAACGTTTACAAAAAAGACAATTTCTTTATATCCAACTTAAGTTAAGATTATTACGACCGTACACCGAAACGCTATTTAAATATGAACTAACATCTTAAATTATAAGCAATACAATTTTGACGTCCGTCAGACTGTAAGTGGTAAAAATTACGTTCGAGATTCGTTTCAATATTCGGCCGTTAGTCAATTACTTAGCATAGACGAAATGTACTAAGAGATTAATCGATACAACCATTATCATACGACATTATGTATTCCTGGTACTATAAACTGATACTCCATAACCATATTATATTACATTGGACTTGTTTATGAGAGACCGTGAAACCAGTGGAATTCTTTACTGCTTTTAAAAAGATTAAAAATCAATCAGATCAAGATAAAGAAGCGGGAGCTAAAAATTTTATGCCTCCGCTTACCTGCTACTGTTACGCCGCATGTTTCCATAATCATATACGACACGATGTTATCTTAAAATAGATAGGAAATTTATTTCTTTTATTTCCGTTTTTTAAATCGTAAATCTAGAGATGAGCTTTTAAGCTCATTATCCGGAGAGATAATTCGTGTTTCCGTAATCGGAAATTATCACATGAGATGATAAAACACTTAGATTATAATCTTAACTGAAATGTTAACTTAACCAATATTTTTAAACTAAGTTTTACAAATATTAAATTATGATAATACTAAAAGTATAAACCGTAATTAAAAAAATATCCTTATAGTAACTATTTTAAATCTAAATTTATTTATGTTTTAAGTGTCTCTTCAGTTAATTCCATATATGAAAAAATAACTAAAACATGAATTAGATACATAATTAGATCGGGGTCGCAGTCCCAGCCTTAACATGTGAAACCGTTAGTTTCAAACACGCGATAAAATTAATAGCAGGTGTCAATTATTAGCACAAGGTGAAAATATACGTGCTGCGAATTTAATATTCAATTCATAAATACAGATTGTATTTAAATATAGTAGGTAACAGTATAAAATCAGTAAATTGTAGCAAACGTCAGATAATAAAATAATAAATTTTAATTTATAGACACATAAGTTGGTAACATGTATTTCTGTGTAAATAAAGATGCCGTATCGTTAGTAACAATGTGCACAGTGCCGCACGCCACGCGCCGTCGTGGCCGCGGACGTTACCCGCCGTGTCTCGCGGCCGCCGACTGAAAGCTGTAATTAAACTAATTATTTATTATTAGCTCCTCTCTCGGACGCTTTTTAGCTCGAGGAAAAACTTAAGTTCCGATCTCGAGCAATTTGTAGCCGCTACCTACAACTGTATCTATAGTTGGCTTTTCGAAATTGTTTATTGACAAGTGATTTTATTTATTAATACGTTAAACTCGATCTAACTCAACGAAACTTCAATTTACATGAGATAAATCTAACCTATATCATATTCCTCAAAACCATAACAATGAAGATCGTTAAACAAATAAAAATTTAAGAAACTGTATCGTTTCCTCTTCACCATTTGTATAAAATGTTTCTCACTATTAAAAATGTTTATTCTATATTAACATCCTGAAATATGTTTCCGATAAATTGATCGATTCGGAAACTGTAAAAAGGCAACCAATGGAACTTCCTTTGCGGACACGGAAGACAAATAAACACAGTATCCGATACATTTCTTACTTCAAATAACGCATAAAAATTATACCCTCTCATCTTTTTATTTAGGACAACCAAGGTACCACACTCTTTTTAATAACTAAAGTTGCTCTCATATATTAAATAAAAAAAATTGTCAATTCATTTAAATAAAGCTGCGATAATTATATGCATAGAAGTATTAAAAAACAATCAAACAGCATTTAGCTTCACACTCTTTACAGATTGATGTAATTACAAAAACAAACAGCCAACCGACTCGTGGTAAAGTTAACTCGAAGTGTCTTTAACTTTTTCGTAAATTCACCACGGACACTAATAGTAGGAGGGGCGAAGCATTTCATTTAAAATTTGTTTTAAATTAAGCTCTCCCGTTTCACAATTAGAATAATAATAACACATTAAAGTAAAATCCAGTAATGTTATACTTTTCATTATAATTTTTCAACCATTTATAAAACAAATGAGCAATTTCAAACCATCATAAAGTACTAAAAGATAATTAAAGAAAACATTTCTACGTGTTGTAAACTATTGAGAGGCGGTCGACCGGACATAACTTGAAAGAGTTTTCAACGAAGCTTCGTAAACGGGATATCGAAGAAAAACAATCAACACGTCCGACACAATTCTAATGACTAGTGATGTACTTGCGATTAGAAATCACTTTTTATCGAGTTCGTAGGGAGGCAAGGTCGGGGAGCTTCCGTTCGGCGTGTGGCAAGTTCCGGTGTTGGGAAACAACGGGCTAATTGTTCGTGTTGCATCACTACGTTTTATTGCTTCTAAGGATTCCAATCGTGTTTGAAATAGGGCTTGAGGTTTATAAACCACGATCGATGTTTGTATGGCAATTGATTGTTTGGGAAATGAGTCGCGGTTAGGGGAACTACATCGTATAAGTGGAGTAGCTTTAAAGATACGATATTGAGGACCTGTCCCACCAAATTGTGTATTGTCTGATAACAATCCAACGTGTAAAATATGTGATGGAATTATTGGATTTTGTTACCCTATCTGACAGTCACGTCATTTTTAATCTATCTAAGTATGTATCAGTCAGTGGTGGGACAGGACCTAAGTAATATTTGTATAATAAATTAACGTTAAACCTGTTCTATTATGTTGCAGATCCTCGTCAATGGAGCGAGGCGGCGGTGGCGGCGTGGCTGCGCTGGGCGGCGCGCGAGTTCTCGCTAGAGGGCGTTGCGTTGCAGCAGTTCGCACGTGCGCAGGGGAAAGACATCTGCGCCATGGGACGGGACGAGTTCGTAGCTCGCGCACCCGCTTTCATGGGAGACATTCTATGGGAACATCTCGAAATATTACAAAAAGGTATGTAATCATTCGCTTAACTTTCAATCAATTCTCTAAGGAAATGAATCTCTATTTGTCGTAAATACGAATCGAAAACGATAGGGTTATCGTGCTACCCTGTTCTTAATCATAGCTCACATTCTGGTAGTAATTCAAAATGTTGTCACTAGATGTGGAGAAGGAGCGTTCCCTGATCGCAAACGTGCCGCCGAACATGTACGAGAGCAATGTGTGCCTGCCCGAGCTCGCGGAGTACATCCCCCCACCCGCGCATCATTACAATAATAATAATACTGGTAAGTACTTTATGCTTATAATTCTGTCTATAGGTTTTTTATATGTAGATATTGTATACAATGAAAAGTGAACAATACTGTTGCACAGTTGGTAAAGGTAAGTACTTTTAAGGTAAGCAATATTCTATTTAAAACATCGTAATATGTGAAGAAAAGCTTACAATTAACAAACAGTTATTATGTAGTTAATGTTCATATATTACGTTTACTAAATTCGTAATTGAAATTTTCACAAAACCGGAAACTCGCTTATTGTCCCTAATTCTCTTATTAGAGACGAACCAAATTAGATATGATTACCTTCGTACAAGAACAAGTACAAGAACAATGTTAGACTTAGACGAACTATTATTTAGAATAATAACTTGGTTAGTACTTTCTCTAATACCTAAAAATGTTTGAATGAAAAATCAAAGTTCTTTATTAGTTTTGAACTCACTTTCTACTTTCGAGAGTATAAAGAATATTTACGAGCTACTGATCTAAACATAATCCGTTGCATAATCTACGCTGTTGCTATCAAGTCGTAAAGATAAGGGAGTCAGCGCCTTATCTCACGGTGCAGTACACCACTCTCATTAAACTACTAGTCGCGATAACTCAACAATTACGTTCCAGTTACGAGCCACAGTTAATGTAATCGATGCTATAAAAATAAACTCGAATGTTGTCGCCTACGTCATCCCACACCCCGCATACAAAAACACTAAAAAGGATCCCAGTTTAAACACCCTTTTCACTAAACGACTACATCTTTAACAAATGACTGCTAAATCTATGAGTAGGGAAACGTGACTGGGCTGTGGAAATGCGTAGAAATAGCAGTCTACCGCGGTCAGATAACTCGACTAATCGTTTAGTGAGAAAGATCCTTAATGTATAGACACGGGCCACCGTGTATATCGATAATCTTGACAGAACTTCTGCATTAAATTTAGTCTCTCGATTTCATTATCGGTGGCATCGATAGCTAACATCGATACATTTTTAAAAGCTTTGTGTAGTTAATTTTGAAGCAGTGTCGTTTATGCTCGTTGAATCGTTACAACGGAATTTAAAATTTTCATTATTCGAAATAGAGTATTCATTAACATTGCCACGCGAGAGACTCTACAATACTTTACTTATTTATTGAGCAGTTAAGATAAGATTCAGACATATCGTATTCTACTGTAAAATGTTACAAGTTGTTCTTTTAACTATCTTAAAAAAGCTTTACCATTTTTTCTGTGTTGTTTCTTTTATATCTATTTTTATGATTCTTTAATCTATTATTATTTTAAATATAAACTTTTAAATTAAAAACAATAAAGAAAATCGTCACAAGTCGACAGATCTGATTTGTAACAGTGCTGCATCTCGGAGTAATAATGAATCAAATTTTACAATCAGTAGGGTGGCTGCACAATATCACGTATAAAAGGTCATTTCCATTAGATGTAAAGCGTGTTTATTGCGTTGTAAATCATAGGAGCGATGTTTTGACTGCGGCCGAACGCTGCTACCGAAATAATAAATAGCTGGAAGAGACAAGATCCTTCTTTCACGCTCGTTAACACGGGTGGTCCCGTGGACATTTACAACTCAAATTATTAGGCACGAATTAAACTATATCTTGCATTTATCATTCTGATATATTTAATAGAAGAAACATTTACTTTATTAACGTGTTATCTACATTCTACCTATAAAAACATAGAGATGAAAATTCAGTGGTAAATCGTAAGATAACGGCACGTTATTGCAATGCTGTCGGTATTTACAAAAATATTTTGTGTACATAATCGTAGTCTAACTTTAACACAATGAATATTTAAAATCACAATAGGTACTAAAATAGCAGTTATTCAACGTCTAAGTAGTCTAGGCAATCGCACAAACAGCGCACACTAGTTTTCCAGTCGGCTGGGCGCGTGGCGCAAACGCGACCTTGGCGCCATTTTTCCGCTCTCTTTCAGCCCATCAGAGGTCTAACAGACTCGTGCCCCTGCCATAATTACGACCGTGTCATCTTCGCCGTTTTCATTACATTTCGCAATACATCTGTCATAAATTACAAATAAAGCTATTGAAGAATAGGTTAAATTAAAAAGTATGAATAATGTTTGAAATTTCCTGAATAAAAATATTGAAAACTAATAACTTTACAAAGCAATAATCTACCAAATTTAAGAATAGCGGTACAATTTTAGCTCGTACTTCTATACGTTAGGCAAGTAATTAATTTTGATGGAAAAATTAAAGTAAAACGAGTATTCGAGTAAAAAAAATTATTATTAACCTATGTTTTATTGGTTTTTGAATAAAGTAATAATTGATTTTTGTCTACGCTACTACTACATGTAAAAGAAAATTAGTAAATAAATAACTTCGACGTATGCGATCACGACCCCTACCAACTGCCCTCACTGCCGGCCGACCGCGCACCATTCAGCATTCAGTCTTCAAGCACAAACACATTGTGCTTGTCTTTAAACAAACAACAGTTTTCTAAACTCATGTCTCTTTAAGTTAAGTGTTCTATAATTAAGTAAAAAAGATTTTTATACATCTCAAATATAGTGTTGTTTTTAAAAGACGAGAACTAAGTGCAAGTAGTGTGCGAACAAATATGGGAGACCTGGATTCTGGTTAAAATATGTTTTTACACCCGAGCTCTCGCTCTAGGGAATCCACAGAGCTGGACCCTCTGATTGTATGGAGAGGTGAGTATGTGTAAATTATAAAAATTGTTGAAATTTTCTTTCTTCTTAGAACAGTTTCATTGTTACTTAACATCCCCTTATTTTACTAAGGAAAGAGCCTTATATTTTACTTATATCTTGTAATATTTATGGTTACTTCAAAATTATTACAATTAATTGGATTAAAAGTTAGATTATTAAAAAGCAAAACATTCAAAATATCAACATGTTTAGTCTACTACAAATAGGGTACAAGTTAAACTAAAATTTTAAGTTAGTATTCGATGTCAGCACATCAAAGTGGTACAATCAAAATTATTGAAGTATCATTAGGCGACAGCAATTCGGTTTTCAGTAGCGAGTGTAAAGTATAGTCAATTTTCACGTCCTCGGAGCGACTCGAGCGTTGCCAACGAATGCAACTGGGCCGAGCTCTTCAAGGTTAACGCACACACGGCGTATTCAATATTTTGCAATAGCTCATATTAATAAGGCGTATACACACTGCATTGGTGCAATTCGGAGGCATCCGCGCTGTCGTAAGCCGTTTGGTGTGCATCCTTGTTGCGCACTCTAATCGCCGGACGTTCGCCGCGGAACTTTGCGAAATGCACTACCACTCTGGCAAACTGTGACTTTCATGGGCAAAATAATGTTATCGCTTCAGGACATCATTCATGATGGAACTAAATGTTTTGTTAGATTGAAACGATCGGAAATTATTGTACATTTACATGTCTTTGATAAACACATTTAAATAATAGTTTTCTTATAAATATAATGTAACAAAATGTGCAATTTCTTAACTAGTTTTGAAAGAAAATAAAAAAATTGTTACAATGTAGTAGTTGCGTAGTCATGTACAAATCCGTATCGAAATGTGTCTACTATTAGATTAACGAAACACAAAAAACATGGTAATAACGATATTAAAATCGAAGTTTTAGTTTATTTGCTGTAAATAAACATATTAGTTTTACAGTAAACATAAAGTTATTTATACCTGTATCTAAGTTAAGGATCTAAGATTCTATTCATGCATACCGTAGGTACAGTAAAAAAAACAAGAATGATTGAATATGGAAACCCACTGAACGTACGAACACCAATAAAGACAGAAGTATCCTGATGACATTAATGACCATGTAATTAACCGCAACGCGTCATTAAAGCTATGCATATCAGATTTAAACGAGAGCGACAGGCCCCATCCTTATTAGCGAACGTTTACGAGCACTGGCAGGTGACTTACGTGGCACCAATCATAATAATTTATACCCATTTAGTGATACTGCCTTTAATCCGTCATGATAAACTCGGCGACGCCCGGTATCCTGCCCTACGGTGATTTATCGATAAACACAGAAGCCCCGCCCTATTGCAAGGTAAACACCAGATATCCTTACCTAGTAATATATGCAATTGGACAGCTTTTTATCGCTTATGTAAATATAGCAAAAAATAATCACCTATTAACACTTAACGAGGCACACGCCAAACGGAGAAATCAATACCGCGGCGAAGTGGTTGCAGACAAAATATCGAGCTTTCTAAGTTATCGATAAAAAAGATAGGTGTCGTTTCGAGCGGCCACATCCGGCAGCCATTGTGCTTCAAGCGGCGAGCTTCCGGCGCAACCCGATACACACTCCTGCGCACGTGCGCGACCTTTTCAAATTTAGTATTACGAAATTCGGAACAAAGGATGTGAGTGAGATAGAAAATCAATAAAGTGAACAATGTCCTGCTGTAAACAAAGAGAGAAAATTATAGAAAATTTCATAACAAAAAGGCTGTATCTTAATATGCATTTGAAATAGATCTCTCGCTATAAGTAAAAAAAATCTCTTAACTTAAAATTAGACTTTTTTAATTAACTACACCCTATATCATGTTTTGAAAAATCTTCTTTATCAATGATATCTAAATATGACACAAGAACAATCATTTCGTTTCACCATTGTGGAGAAACATCGACAAATACATAATACGCACTTAACCCAAAGGAGGCAGGTAAGTAAAGGAATAGCATTCGAGGGCGCACGAAAAGAGCAAAGGGCGCTGCGGAGTACGTTTACAATACGCACATAAACCCGACACTGAGGGGCCCTTGTCCTTCAATGAGCCCTTAACAAGGACTCTCCGGGAGCTCCAAGGGCCTATACAATCAGTTTTCTTCATTCACCTACTTCACGTGGCCTTGATTCGAATCCTAAATCTGATTCGATTGTCGACTCGATTTTAAATTAAGGGGAAGGGTCAGACGGGCACAAAAGACTTTAATATTCAAATTAGATTTTATCGCTCTTGATTTAT